TTAAGTCGTTCTAACGAGAAAACAACTCTCGTTATGTCGATATAATGAGAAAATATGTCGTTATAACGAGAAAACAACTCTCGTTATGTCGATATAATGTGAAAATTAAGTCGTTATAATGAGAAAACAACTCTCGTTATGTCGATATAACGAGAAAATAAGTCGTTATAACGAGAAAACAACTCTCGTTATGTCGATATAACGAGAAAATTAAGTCATTATAACGAGAAAACAACTCTCGTTATGTCGATATAATGAGAAAATTAAGTCGTTATAACGAGAAAGCAACTCTCGTTATGTCGATATAACGAGAAAATAAGTCGTTATAACGAGAAAACAAGAAGGGAAAAAAAAATAATGCATGGCCGCTTAGAACTTCCGTAGTACACTGCATATACTGCACAGTATATATGTACAGTAGCCGTTATCTTGCTTTTTGAAGATAGTAAGAGTCTATTACAATCTATAGGAGAACATTGACATCTTGTGGTTATAGAGGAACATTGCAAGACACATCACAGACATGGCAGGCACTTTGTTCAATGTTTTTAAAGATTGAAGAGAGATTGTTTAAAAGTTTTCTATCATTTTCTTCTCATTAATTTTAGTTTGTTTGTGTGTTTTCAGAGTAACTACCTTGTGTTTATGGCAGAGCTATTCTGGTGGTGTGAAGTTGTGAAACCATCTTTTGTTCAGCCCCGCACACTCAATACCAAAGGTAAGGTCTGTCTTAGTGCTGGGCGGTATGACCAAAAATGTATATCACGGTATTTTTCAAAATTATACCGGTTTCACAGTACATGACGGTATTTTTTTTTCATGCATGACCGGGTGTTAACCATATTTTCTACTGATTGATATTTCTCTCATTTATAATCTCGGCATCTGCGGTGTGGCCAACTGAATGCGCTGCTTCTCTGCCGCTCACTGCACAGAACAGACGCCGAGAGAGGTGACACTTCTCCGGGAAAGTCAGACCTCTCGTTCGCAGGACAGCACTGGCGAAATCTTCCAACTGAACCATAGCTAATGATTATCCAAAAAAGTCGCTAGGTTTGTCAGTATGAATATTCTACGAAAAAAAGCCGCTAAAAGGGTCTGAAAGTTGCTAAATCTAGTGCTAAAGTCGCGCTCGTGTGTGAGACGTGGGAGCTGATGGCAGCGGGCGGTGGATATTTGTGGCGGTCAATGTGGATCTTGTGGATGAGTTCTTCTGTGTCATCGCATTCTATTAGTTCTACAGCTTCAGTTTCGGAACTTTCACGCTTAGTAACACATACAGCTGTTCCCTCACCACAGTGCAACAGTGAAAAGGAACCCCTTTCAAACAGTGTTGCGTTCCGAGCGTTGTTTAAGCGACATACACCGGTATTGCAGTATTTAAAAAATTTATATAATAACAAAAATAAACACCGGTATTCGGTATGAACCGGTATACTGCCCAGCACTAGTCTGTCTCATCTGTTGTCATTATATTTGGTGTTATATATTATTTTATTAACACCAGTTTTGTTTACCTCTTCTTTTGTAGTATCTGACCCATCCCAGTCCAATAAAATGGCTCCCATAACCAAACAAAACCTGATCCACAGGTCAGGCAGTCCGGATCAGTCTAGGTTTGTCTTTAATACAATGCAAGTTTGAGGTTTACAAAGAATTTAAATCATTTATCATGAGTTTATGCTGAATTTATATTCCAAACAATTTCATCTTTTAGGTCACAACCTAAAAATGACAACTCGGGTAAGACTTCAAAAAATTAAGTCACACTTTTGTAGAACTTACCAGAGTAACCTCTCATTAGTTTTGTGTCTCCTGTAGCTCAACAGGAAAAACATGACTTTAGCACACACACTGATGCAATTTATAGCTTGAATGCACTGAATAAACAATAAACTTGCTGTTTTATGTAATTAAATGTGTATTTCTTTCTCTCACAGCAGTTATCAGGCGGTCGTCCTCCTTGTCGTATGTGGATGGATGTGTGGGGACATGGCCTAAAGAGAAACGGTTTGTGCCCTCTACAAACTCTCTATCCCTTTGACTCTCTTACTCTGTCTTTACATGCTGCAGATGAGTAACTGTTTGTCTTCACCTCAGGTCTTCAGCTCATGGGATATCATTTGAGATTCCATTTGATGACAGCATGAGTTCGACTTCAGGACGTGGACTGAGCCGATCAGCAAGCACTGAAGGATTGGGTTATAAAGTTCACCACGCGGCACGAGGCATGCGAAGGAACCTCTCGTTCCAGCCCGTTAATGGGAATGCCCACAGCAAAATACGTGAGGAGGATGATGAGGAATCCAACAGACAGATCAGCAGGCATCATCTGGGAAACTACGCTGGGTAAATCTTTTCTGCCTTTTTGTCACATTTAAACCTACAGTTCCACCAAAAATTTAAATCATTTTTTACCCACTTTTCATGTTGTTTTAAGAAACACAAAAGAAGTTTGACTGAATGGAGCTGAATGGAGAAGGACAGTGTCAAAATGACAAAAGCACAATAAAAACAACATACACAGTCCATACTAGTACAAGACCTTTGTTAAGTCGGTACTGAAATTATAAAAAGGTGATGATACCAGTCTTTCTGCAGTATTATCAAATACCGACTCAATTCAGTACCCACTGAAAAGCCAATCTGCAGTATTTTGCATACATGTCAAATTTGCAATGCGTCCAATGTGTAAACAATGTCACTTATGCAGTAAATCCAATTGAAACTCCAGCACAGTCTGCATAGAAATGTTTAAGACAAACGCCATTACCTCAACCTTGCAGACATTTGCTGCTGTTTGCATAAAGTTGAGAATTTCTCAACTTTTGAATGCTTTTAACACTTTATCCAGTCTGCTATCAATCCCACAATCCACCACACGAGCATGAAGCTTGGCTTCTGTAGAAATGCATTAAAAATGCCCACGCTTTTTCACTCAATCTGCTTCAATATAAATATACCGTAAACCATGGCTCTGATTTTCACTGTAGATTAGCTTCTGAGACAGGCTGCTTTATATCTTCTTTTCTTTAGGCGGTAGAAATATAGAAGAAAGTATTAAGTATTGTATTCAGTGGCAAGCTGTTTTATTTTGAAGTAATAGTTATCCAAATGTTGAGAGTTCACTAAAACTGAAGGAATATTCTATGTTTCAGGTACTCAAATGGTGTATCAGCAGACAACTCAAGCCCTTCTTATGACCCTCAGCCCAACACCCCCAGTATAGAAGAAGCCCTGAAGATCATCCATGACTCTGAGCGACCCCACAGCAGCTTGCAGCCCCCATCTGGGGACAGCACCTTTTTCCTCCACAACCCATCTACCCACAACTCCGCATCTGATACAAACGATCCAGAGGACTCTCTTTCCAAGGCCAGAGCAGTAGATGACGTGGACCTAAATTCCACCTCTACTGACATGGACACCGGAATCCACGTCCGTACCGAGGATATCCAGGATGGACAGGATGAGGATTCATCCCTGAAGGACTATTCAGACATGGACCAGGACTACGAAGCTCGTTCCTGTCCACTTCCGGAGACATCCGGCAGCCTGTGCCCAAGCCTTTTGGGAATGCACTCCCTGGCCACCAGCATGGCCTCCTCATTGGGTTCTGCTGTTCGCATGACCAGCTTTGCCGAACAGAAGTTTCGTAAACTAAACCACGGCGATGGTCGCAGCAGCGGGAGTGGTGGCAACACGCCTGAGAGCAGTGACCTGAACGTCACAACCCCAGGAGCGACCGGGACAGTTCGTTCGATTACTCCTAACACACATAGCCCCTCTCGCATCACTTCCCCTCGTGATCCCTCACACCTGTTGGCGTCGGAGATGGTGCAGTTGAAGATGAAGCTGGAAGAGAAACGCAGAGCCATTGAGGCACAGAAAAAGAAAGTCGAAGCGGCTTTTACGCGTCACAGGCAGCGCATGGGCAGGACTGCCTTCCTCAATGTAGTAGATAAATGTAGATAAAGTAGAATTAAAATAGAATAGAAAGTGCTAGAGTTAGATGGTCAAATAAAGGGGGTTTATTTAGGGGTCCGTGGCATCTAAAAGATTGAAAAACCATGCCCTAAATAACTGACACATTTAAACAATGAAATAATAAAAAAAAGAATTAACTTATTTGAGGTATTTACAATAATTAGCAGATTTTACTGCCATGCTTGACAATATTTCTCTAAAACATACAAGACCAGGGGTTTATTTCAAACTAACAAAACACTTTAATTCTTTGTATTTGACACGAATGGTGACAGTGTATGGCACTCTGTCCAAGGGCTTCAGCATGTCTTTGTAGTTTCAAGTAAGCGCTCATTTGAGATAGAATCTTTGTATTTAGAAAATTTGTGTTTGAGTTTTCTGTCATTTACTATGAAGCACAACACAATGTTCTGGGAGAGACATTGTCTCGTACACCCAGCTGCACATGAGGTTCTGTGTCAGACTGAATGATTGTTTGTTTGTGTTGCTGTGACTCAGGATGACCTGAAGGCAGAGGAGGATATTGCACAGAAGAAAGCAGCTCTGATGGAAAAAAGGCTTCGGCGGGAGAAAGAGATGCAGATCAAGAAACAGCAACAGGAGGCCGAGATGGAAGAAAAGAAAGCAGCAGCACAGTATGAAAAACACCACAACACAATAACAGAGAACTACACAATCACAGAAACTGTAGCTAATTCAGCACGTCATACTCACAGAAATCAAAGTGCGCTAGATTGGAATGTGTAGCTCACAGGAAATCCAAAATGAACCAATATTTGGCATGACATTTCAAAATGTCTCACTTTCAACATTTGATATGTTATCTATATTCTATTGTGAATAAAATATAAGTTTATGAGATTTGTAAATTATTCCATTCCTTTTTTACTCACAATTTGTACAGTGTCACAACTTTTTTGGAATTGGGTTTGTAGGTGTTTTTAGGAAAAAGTGTGTTTAAAGCAGGTGAACAAACTGGCATTTTGACTAAACAGTCACAGTTGCAGAGTATAATTAAAATGTGTGAAGAAAGAAACAAACAGTAAAATAAATCTACAAAAATATACACAAAACATATTCAAAGTATGTTTTTCACACTGTTTATCACTAAATAAATATAGGGAGAACTAATTATTTTCATTTATACTCAACAGTATATGTAGTAATAAAATGCAATATTTACTAAAATATTGTAAAGCATTTGAAGTTTAGATCTTTCCAGAGCTTTACTGAGTGATGACACAAATTAAAAGTTGAACCAATTCATTGAAATTACTGGTCACTGGAATATGCTCCATTCAACATTCACCAGTTTTAGTTCTGTATTTAAATGAATCTAAAATGGTTTGTAAAAGCCATTAAACTTGTAAAAGCAAGATTTCAAGGAAATTTGTTCATCGTACTTGGATTGTCTGCTTCCTTAATCAGATTGAAAGGGGAAGAGGAACGCCAGAAGAAAGAGGAAGAGAAGGCAAGACGGGATTTTATAAAAAATGAATATATGAGGAAGAAGCAGCTCAAACTGATGGAGGACATGGACAGTGTTATTAAGCCACGCCCCCCTAGTATCAAGCAGAAGAAGCCACGCCCCAAATCTATGCACAGAGACATCACGGAGTCTCCAAAGCCTCCAGCACGGACAACCACAGGTACGATGTTGGAATCCAGGTTGTCAGCCTTTGAGTCAATCTTACTGGGGGTTTTTTGTTTTTTTTTCAATATTAAAATCATTAAAATATAACTTTTTGATTAATTGTAATTATTTTTATATTATTATTATTAAAAACAATTATTATTAGACACTTTATAATATACTTTAGTAATATAAAAATATCTAATTGTACAGTATCTTAATAATGTTAATAATTATATATCTACATTTTATGTTTTATTAAAATGTTTATCTTTTTATTAAAAATAGTACACTTAATTTGTTCTTGTGAAATCAAAAGTGCATTTGAAACTGACTGCTAAAAGAAAATGCATGCCAATTATGTGCATGTATATGCATGTGTATTTGTGTGTTCAGGGTCACGACCTCGTGGATATTCCGTGTCCAGCTTATCACTCGCCTCGCTTAATTTGGCAGACAATGAGAGTGTCAAATCAGATAAGAGGACATCCAGGTGAGACCACGTCCACAGTTACTGTTACCTTCCCTGTAAAAAATCATTCAATAACAGAAAAAATAATGATAGTTTTTGTTGAGACTATAAATGTCACACTCTTGTATTAACCAGTACTGAGACACATCTCTGTTGTCTTGTTCATAACCCTCTGTCCTCCTCTGTCTATGGTATCTCTTGTCTTTTCTCTGGTTGCTCAGAGGCAGCAGACTGTCTCCTGGCAGTCTGTATTTCTTTCTGAGCTCCCCTAAAGGGAGAAAGGGAAGGTCAGTTTGCAGACAGGATCACACCCATGTCATTATCTCACAGGGCTCCGACGGCTTGTCATTTCAGCTTGGGCGCTGGACAAACTCATCCGCTTGGACAGATCAGTTCACTGGTTCATCAGCATATTAGTGGAACATAATAAGCCATTATATAATTCTCATCTTTGAATCATTTGTTATAAAGCAATCAGTGGCAGTCATATTTTGTTATATTACAGTATTTATTAGTTTTTTATAGTGATTTTTTGTTGGCTAATTTATCATAGCAGCACCAGAAAATGGCTCATCTTTTAGCAATTGTTTATGAAACTCAGTTTAGCATTGTGTCTTAAAGGGATAGTACACCCAAAAATGAAAATTTTATTCCAAACCTGTATGACTTTCTTTCTTCTGTAGAACACAGAGATATTTTGTAGTTTTAGGATTATCAAAAAGTACCGAATTCAGTACCAGTCGGTACCGACATTTTAAAAATGAGACACTACCAGCATTTCCCGCTAGAATTTGAGTGCTGCTGAGCTGATCCTTAAACATCGTTGATTGGCCGCTGTGTTCACGTGCTCAACAGATATTAGGGGTGTAAGAAAATATCGATACACGTGAGTATCGTGATATTTTGTTTGGCGATACTGTTGATTCTCAAAAACGGAATATCGATATTTAAAAAAAAAATAAAATCATACAAGATTCATGGCAGTTGTTCGTTTTGAGTTTATATCTCGACTAATTTATCATAGCAGCACCAGAAAATGGCTCATCTTTTAGCAATTGTTTATGAAACTCAGTTTAGCATTGTGTCTTAAAGGGATAGTACACCCAAAAATGAAAATTTTATTCCAAACCTGTATGACTTTCTTTCTTCTGTAGAACACAGAGATATTTTGTAGTTTTAGGATTATCAAAAAGTACCGAATTCAGTACCAGTCGGTACCGACATTTTAAAAATGAGACACTACCAGCATTTCCCGCTAGAATTTGAGTGCTGCTGAGCTGATCCTTAAACATCGTTGATTGGCCGCTGTGTTCACGTGCTCAACAGATATTAGGGGTGTAAGAAAATATCGATACACGTGAGTATCGTGATATTTTGTTTGGCGATACTGTCGATTCTCAAAAACGGAATATCGATATTTAAAAAAAAAAATTAAATCATACAAGATTCATGGCAGTTGTTCGTTTTGAGTTTATATCTCGACCGCGATAGATAGATAGATAGATAGATAGATAGTCAGTACTTTTTGTAGATAGATAGATAGATAGATAGATAGATAGATAGATAGTCAGTACTTTTTGACAACCCTATGTAGAAATACATTGTTAATCAAATGGTTTCGGGTCCCATTGACTTCTATTGTATGGACAAAAATCCTATGGAAGTCAATAGGACCAGAAACTGTTTGCTTACCAACATTCCTCAAAATATCTTCTTTTGTGTTTGTTTTTTCGTTTTTGGTTGGACTATCCCTTTAACCAGGTGCAAGTGATAAATTATAGCTCTTCCATGTTAGTTTCTGTCCTGCAAAAAATGACAAGCGACAAGACATTTTGTCAGTCTATCTAGTTGCAACAGAATCATGCTCTGCATCACTGTATAAAAACTTTTTTTTAAACAGCGTTCTGATTAGCTATTACTTCTATGACAAGTCATGCAGAATTTTTTCTTTCACTGTGGGCTTTTTTAATTACTTGTATTAGTTGCTGGAAACTTGCACCTGGTTAGAACATTAGTTAGTGCACTGAGTACTCTATTTTCAGTTTCATCTATGCTCCGCTTCCTTTTTTAGTGCCTTCAGCTTCTAAACATGTGTGTGTGTGGAATTATGCTTATTACTGGTTTTTGGGCAGTTGATTTGATATGAAACATTGCTTTTTCCAGCTGCAATAAGGGCCACCTGTTAAATTAGTACTTCAGGCTTCATAAAAGAGCTATTTTAAGTGTGTCTGATTATGTATTTTCAGACCAGAGTCCACAGAGGGCTTTCTGTCACCGTGTCCATCCGTAAGTGGAAACGGGGAGAACTGGGAGCTCGAATCAACATCGTCTGCAGCGTCTAACACAGAATACACAGGTGACATGACAGTCCTGCAGTGTGACATTTTAATATTCTGATTTGCATTTCTTATTATCAATGTTGAGAACATTTGTGCTGCTTTAAATTTTTTGTGGAAACTGTCACACTTTTTTTCAAGATTTTTTGATGAATAGAAAGTTCAAAAGAACAGCATTTTTTAACAAATCTTTTGTAGCATTATAAGTGTTTTACTGTTACTTTTTAGATCCTTTCTGAATAAAAGTATTGATTTCTTTCAAAAATCTTACTAACACTAAACTTGTGGTAAACTAATGGTGGCGTATATTGAATGTTTGTACTTTGAAAAATTAATTTGTTTTAATGAACTGCAAAAAAAAAAAAAGTTATTTAAAATCCAGAAAAATTAAATTTTAACCTAAAATCTTGATGTGGAAGAACGTGTTTACAGTATTTTATACGTATATCAGCTTCCAACAAGCAGTATGCCATTTACTCCAACATTAAACTGAATACACTGAACTTTGGCACTGGCGTTTAAAATGGGTAGAATTGACTGACCCTTATCATAACCTTGTCATAACCTTGACCCTCAACAAATACTCTGCACACCATTGTTGATCTCTTCATCTAATCCTTATGTCTCTTCCTCTCAAGGGCCAAAGTTGTTTAAGGAGCCCAGTGCTAAATCAAATAAATACATCATCCAGAACGCACTGGCTCGCTGCTGCCTCGCAGGCCGCGTCAACGAGGGACAGAAGAACAAAATCCTAGATGTGAGGGGAAAAAAGTTGCAAAATCATTGCTATTTGATTAATGTAGAGAATTAAAAGTTTTAATCTATGTAACAAATAAATATTTAATGTTACATGAGTCCTATATTTAAATAAATAATTCTTGATTTACTTGGTGTAGAGGTCTAGACTGTCATTTAAAACCTGAAGGGGAATAATAATTATTTCATATTTGTAATTATTTGTTTTATTTTTCCCAGGAAATGGAGAAAACCGAAGCCAACAACTTCCTGATTCTGTTCAGAGACACTGGCTGCCAGTTTCGTTCTCTGTACACATATTATCCAGAGGCGGAGGAGATCAACAAGCTGGCTGGCATCGGGCCCAAGACCATCACACCCAAAATGATTGAAAACCTCTACAAGTACAGCTCGGATAAGAAACAGTTCAGCAAAATCCCCGCCAAGACCATGTCAGCTAGTGTGGATGCCATCACCATCTACAGCCACCTCTGGCAGAACAAGAAACAAAACACACCCAAAAAACTCCTCAAATAAGTTCACAGCTCACTGGCAGACTGCTGAGTGTTCCTGCCTATCGGAAATTATGATGCACATCCTGAATGTAAAGAAAACACTTTTGCGGGCTTCGGATATTCATTTGTGGCGAATTCGAAACCTTCTGTTCTACAGTACGCGCACACACACACACTTGTGTGTGTTTATTTGCAGCACTGACGGATGCGCTTTTACATCATTTTTATTTTCAACGTTCAATTTTGTGGCCTTATGCTTGTCTTGTTGGGTCTTTTATGCAATGCTTAACGCACAGTTACTGAGTTTATGAGCAAGTCATTGCATCGTATGAAGATACACAGTCTGCTTCTTTTGTGTTTGTGGAAATGCAGGTGTAAAAGAATATTAGAGACATACTACACTTGAAGACTAACTTTACAGATGGTCATGCAGTTAAAGAAGCATTTAATGTACTGGAACCTCAATTTTTTGCTTTATTTAATGTCTGCATTTTTATATTTTGGGTAGGATTTGTAATTGTTGCACAACTGCTACGCCAGAGGAACATGTGTAAAATTAGCTACAGTAAGAGTTTTTCGCTCAAGACACTTTCTATAAAATTAACACGCTTGTGTTACTCTGTATGTGATGTTAACGTAATGATGGGGCCTTTAACTGATTAAGTGGAGGACCAGAACTAAACATATTAGCTAGAATTATAAATACATTCCTAGATATGTTGCTATCGCTAGTGTCGCGATCCAGAATATCTGGGTGCCATGTATGTTTGAAACATACATTTTAGAGAGACAGATCAATTTAGCTGACTGTTTGAGTAGAGTACATTTCCATATAAATAATACAGAGGAAACACTGAGCTATTTAACATCATATAATGAAGCTTTCAAAGAGATGGTGCATATTATTGCTAAATCATGTGGTAACTCGTTTTTAATTATGAAGTGCATTTTAAAGAGCTGGGATTATTTGGGCAGGCTGTTGTCTGGTAACACATTTTGTCTGCAGGTGCAAAATATTCGAAAGATATTTGTTATTTTTACTAAGTGAAGTAAATCATTGTTTGAATTTATTGATGCTGTACAGATATAGTTTTACATACTAAGCATATTTTTTAAGCCATTGAATATTACTGATATTTTTCATATGAAAAAGATGATGTTTAACAGGTGCAAGTATGACGGGATGTGATAAGAGCAGAAGTAAGATGTTCTGAGAGATGTTCATTTCCACACGCTGTCTAATCTTTTTCCAGGTCATGTCTGCTGTTTGTTCATCATATGCTTTGTCTGTTTGTATTTGAATGTTAACCTCAACATAAATACAGATTTACCACCAAAACCTTACCTGTTTGACCTATTTTCCCCCTTTGTAATGATCCAGTATTATTATTCACTTGTAATAACATTATTTATGACTTAGTGCAGGGCTGTCCAAACTTGGTCCTGGAGGGCCGGTGTCCTGCAGAGTTTAGCTCCAACCCTAATTAAACACCTGAACCAGCTAATCAAGCTCTTACTAAGCATAGAAACGTCCAGTCAGGTGTGTTGAGGCAAGTTGGAGCTAAACTCTGCAGGACACCGGCCCTCCAGGACCGAGTTTGGACAGCCCTGACTTAGTGAGTAATTATGGTTAGGGATGGGAATCATAAAAAATGTAACCATTCTGGTTCCTTAGAAGTAGTATTATAATTGTTAATGGAACTGTTAAAAAATAAATACTGAATGCAATGCAACAAACAACAAAAAACTAATAAAACAAACTTCTTTAATTTATTATAATGTAACAAAAACTTCTGAAAACGCATATTGTGTTTAAGGTGTATATGAAAATGCTTTCAATACAGTGAGTGATTTAAAGGGTTACTCCACCCCAAAAAGAAAATTTTGTCATTAATCAACCCCCCCCCCCCCCCCCCCCCCTTGTGACTGTCCCATTGACTGCCTAGTAAATTACACTGTCAAGGTCCAGAAAAGTATGAAAGACCATCTGCCATCAGTGGTTCAACCGTAACGTTATGAAGCGACGAGAATACTTTTTGTACGCGAAGAAAACAAAAATAACGACTTAATATCCACTGAACGCAAACTGCGTACTATGGGCGAAAAAAACCTTTTTGAAGCTTCGAATCAATTGAACCAATTGCTGCACAAAATGATCCACTGTTTCGAAGCGCTCGAAACACCACACGCTGGTGACGGCTGCTGGTCAAAAGTGTGTAAATGCAAAAAAAAAAATAATAATTCAGGCTAAAACATGTATAAAAACCTTATTAAAACTGCCATAAAAATGACGAAATAACATTACATATGAAGTGTCTGTATGGCTTTTAAAATATTTTATATACATTTTCAGGGCTTGTTTTGTTTTATGGAGAGCTTGTATATATATATAGGCCAGAAAGATATATTAACTACATTCTTTTATTTACACAAATGTCTTGTTAAAAATGTCTACCAATTGATGAAACTGATCCGAGATCAGGTAAAAACCATAGACACTGGTTCGTTTCGCCGCTGCGAGGCGATCTCAATGAACTCGCATTATTCGAGTTGGAGGTCGCTGCAGCAATACATACTTGGATGATTCACTGGTTCACAGAGATCGACTGGTTCTGTGTCAGCCGCGACACAAGGATACGTTTTCTACATGTATTTACGCTTTGATTTGAACAAAAACAGCACATCCGTGCAGCACGGCTGACACAGAAGAGCGTACGCTGCTTGCGTCCAGCAGATATTCTCCAAAATGCCGCAACGGTGATGGAGAGACACAGAGGAGACGAATTGTTGAATAAAGTCATTATTTTTGTTTTCTTCGTGTACAAAAAGTATTCTCGTCGCTTCATAACGTTACGGTTGAACCACCGGTGGCAGAGGGACTATTCTGACGATGTCTTTCATACTTTTCTGGGCCTTGACAGTGTAATTTACTAGGTAGTCAATGGGACAGTCACAAGCCTCCCGGTTTTCATCCAAAATATCTTAAATTGTGTTATGAAGACGAACGAAGCTTTTACGGGTTTGGAACGACATGGGGGTAAGTGATTAATGACAACATTTTCATTTTGGGGTGGAGTAACCCTTTAAGTCTCAAAGCTTGAAAGCTTGTGAATGCGTTTGATTCACTAAAAAGAACCGGCGCTTAGGAGTGATTCATTAGAGAGTCTGTACACTGGTCGCTCTTTATGCATTTTGTTTCTATAAAAAACTACCTCAAGCGTCATTTGTTCGGGAGTCGTCTAGTCTTATACTAGTCCCGTTGTGTGTTTTAGACTCACTAAAAAAAGAATCGGTTCAAAAGAGTCATAATTTCAAGAGTCGGACTACACTGGTCGTGCTGTACCGATTCATAAGAGTCATTCATTCCGGAGTTGAACTACTTTGGTCACGATGTAGATTTAAAAGCGATGTAAAAAAAACGGCCTATGTAACGGATTTTAATGAAATGTAAAAATAAACAATTATGAATCACAAAACCATTTTTTTTTAAATCGGCAAAAAACACACAGATTTGTATTTGTGTGTTGTTTGTAATCATTTACAATTAATTAGAACATAATAATTCCATCACTTAAACCCAAAACATCTCCATAAACCGCTACTTTCTCGGCTTAGTATTAGTTTACACACATAGCATAATACGCACATAATGCTGCTAATCACAAATCCCCATTAAGCCTCAGTTTGTTGAGTAACACGCAGTTCAGTGCGGGCCTGGGCGGGTTTTGCGGGGGTTCGTGTGCGTGAGCGCGGATTGGTGGAGAGCGCAGAGGAAGCTTGTGCTTGACAACCAGCGAAAGCCAGGGACAACAAGAGCCTCTCTCCCCGAAACACGGAGGAAAAAACACCAGGCAGTGCGTGCTGACACACCCTCAGCGGACCCACACAGGATTTCTGGACTTCGTTTATATGTAGAGATTATCAGGTGAGGGTAAAATCGCTCTTCGCGACGGTTATCGCCGTTGTTTTGAGGATAGGCGAGGCCGGGGGAGGCTGCTGCTGCGCCGCCTGGATGACACACACTCTCCCCCCGCAGCTAGATCAGAACGGCTTCAGTCCGTTCTCACTGGTGCCTGATGGGATGTAATGTGGCTTATTTAGGACATAATCAGTGTAAACGGTTTGATAACGTTAGATGCATTGCAGTGACCTCATGCAGATTCAGCGGTGGGAATTAAGCAAATCTGCGTTTCTCATATTGCATGTTTGGGGGTGGCGTGGTTTAGTGGTTCAAAGAATGAGCTTCTAATACTATAAGGTTAAAGGTTTAAATCCCAAAAAGCAATTCATAATATACTACCATTGTGCTTGTTGTAGAAATGCATGGGTGACCATTAATGTATAGTGCCTATTTTTCCGATTTTCTTTAATAACTTCTACAAATCTACCTGTCATTTTTTGTAGATTAAACATATATAGTTGTGTATCTCAAATTAAGAGCATTGTTAAAGGAATAATATTATTGTGTTAATATCTAATATTAATAAATAGTTTTCTCATTCGTATACTACTAATTCCTTTAGCTATCAAGAATAATGTATGTTTTTAAAACAAAAATGTAAGTGGTATTTTCATTAGAATTATTTGAAATGATTTGAAATGGGTTAAGTTGGATGTGTGATGTGATTGGATGTGATATTTTGTTTTGGTAGAATGTCAGGTCACCTCCCATGCTTTTGTGTGTTTACATTAGCATTTTCTGGTATGTTGACTTTTCTTTGTCATGACATTGGTTTGGTATTTTAATTAGAACGGTTGTTACTTCTTCACTTGTAGTGTTCAAGCGCTAGAGTGTTTTATAGCTACATCAAGGGATTTATAAAATGAAGTAATAAATAATAAAGTCCCATTAGCAGTACATTTGTTACAGTGTCTTTGTTAACATTATGTAATAAAAATACAACTGTTCACAATTTGTCAGGGTGGACAATTGGAAACATTGTCATAAGCACTGTGATAAGAGGAGCCCTAAAGTCCTATATTTTATAGCCTAACCTTAGATCTGGGGAGGGAAAATACCCATAAAAATGATTTCTAAATTCATGTTTTTTTTTAATTTAGCCTAAGCAATGGCCTGATGACCATTGGTTGATTAAGAAAGTGTATATCATAGCTGTTTATAGGTAAAACCATCTGCTAAATGATGCATTTGTTCTTATTCTTTCTGCGAAAGCTTGCCACCATGACGGCTGAGGAGATCATAAATGTAAAGGAAGTGGAGATCATCAAGGTGATGCTGGACTTCCTGAACACGCGCAAGCTGCACATTAGCATGCTGGCCCTGGAGAAGGAGAGCGGGGTCATCAACGGCCTGTACTCAGACGACATGCTCTTCCTCAGGTTTGATCCATAAGCACCTTATACTCAGGCTGAGGTTAAACCAAAAACCTAATGTGGTGGCGTTGTGAGCCAATCATATAATGCACGAGCCGGCATGTTATGAAGTGCCATTTTTAATTTTTTTATTTTTCACTTTACCATCCCTCCTCCCACATAACCATTTTTTATGTAATGGTTGAGTTTGAGTTTTTAAAGCAGTTTTACTCTGCATTGATGTGATAAAATTGAGTTGCATTTGTTTCACCATT